CATTTGAATAAGAGTAAGAACAGAACAGAACAGAACAGAATAGAATTAGGTGCTGTTGTTATGGAAGAGGGTGCCAGCCTTGCGAGGTAGTCCAGACCCAGAAGAACTAGCTCTATCTTTACTGTCAGGTTCCATTAACAGAATCATGCAAGTCGGAAAGTACATCTCTTCCCCCTTGCCTTTACAGCCCAAGAAACTAGGAAGCAACCCTTCTGAGACATTCGCCAGGCCCTCATTCCTTCTGCGGGCTCAGGGGCCGTTTATCTGACCGTAGTCTACTCTGCGGCTCTTCCTCCTGTCTCCCAGGGCCACTCCCACAGATCATTACAGAGGGTGATCTCTCTCGTAATCTTGGTTCTCCTGGTCTCTCTTTCACCCTCTCTTTAGAATGGTTCTTCTCTGCCATGGATCCTCTTTTCCTTTGCATCTACGTAGTGGAGGCCATTCTCAAACTTATTGCATTAGGCGTCGACTATTTCCGTGACCCCTGGAACGACATTGGTGAGTCTTTAGCCATAGGGTCAAGGGGTGGGGGACGTCACATTGGCAGGCTTGCAATGGGTACAAACCTGGACCAGACAACGAGAGCGTTCACACACGGAATGCCACGCATTGGACTTTAGCCTAGCATGTGGTTTGAAACCAGGCCATGATTCCAGTGATTTCACAGGTATCGTCTCTGGCCCTATTGCTCCTTGTAAAAATGTTTTGAAGCCTCCTGCCAGATTAGTGGCGACCTGTTGATTGAAGCCTTAAAAAACTCTGTGGATGTGCAGAAATGTATCTGCTATTTTGCACCTAGGTGTATTTACATTACGAGGCCCGTGAAAGGTGCTGAACAAAATCAGTGACCAGCTCTGTCGGTGTAGAAAACTCTGGTTCATTCAATAAACCAAGATTAAACTGATCATGACTTAGACATGGTATGAACCCGCTCGTTGCCTGTATTTACCCAACATGTGGCAATTGCATTTCTCCACTTCCTGGGTTTACAAAACGCATGAGCCATAAGCAAATCAAACTGAAATGGATTATGGTTGCCCACCATACAAGGATACCACACACACACAAAACAGTAAGTCAGAAGTTTATTCCTGTTCTTTAACTTCCCTCCCTGACATTGTTCTTACCATTTTACTCAAGGTGGATCCAAGCCAGAAGGTAGATTGTCATAGATGGGAGGGACTTTGGAGATCACCCTCCTGGCCCAGTGCAGCTAATCCTTTACTACAGCATCCCCAACAGAGCAACCTCCAGCTTTTGCTTAAACTCCTTCAGCAAAGGAGAGTCCGCCACTTCTTCTGACCCTGCGTCCAGATGTCCACCTGAAATCGACTTCCTTGTGATTTAATTTAATAAGTGAATCATGGAATGGAAAGGTTGGAAGGGATCTTAGAGATAATCTAGTCCAGTGTTTCTCAACCTCAGCAACTTTAAGACTATGGACTTCAACTCCCAGAATTCTCCCAGCATGCTGGCTGGGGAATTCTGGGAGTTGAAGTCCACACATTTTGAAGTTGGTAAGGTTGGGAAACACTGATCTAGTCCAACCCCCTGCCTGGTATAGGGTTCCCTTTCTACTGTATCCCCAACAGAAATAGATGTGTGTCTGTGCCTGTGCCTGTGCCTGTGCCTGTGCCTGTGCCTGTGTCTGTGTCTGTGTCTGTCTGTGTCTGTCTGTCTGTCTGTCTGTCTGTCTGTCTGTCTGCCTGCCTGCCTGCCTGCCTGCCTGCCTGCCTGTCTATCTATCTATCTATCTATCTATCTATCTATCTATCTATCTATCTATCTTTATTAAAAATTTTAAAGAGAAAGATAAAAACTAACAAGAACTAATATTTAGAATAAAGAAACAAACAAAAAGAGGGAAATAAGAAAAGAACATAGCTAAAAGTGCAGGAAATAAAAAGAGAAAGAGAAATAAAAGAAATATACTTCTGATTTTCTTTTTACACTAGTTATAAGTATGAATGTAAATTAACGTCTTACTCTATGGTTACATCATCGCTTACATTTTTTCTATAACCCATTTTTTTTCTAATCATCAGATCCATACATCATAATTTCATTTTGTTCAATTTCATGCAAAAAGTCAATAAGGGGATTCCAGTCAGCATTACACTTAGACAATGTCTTATCAGTTAAAGCTGTCAATTTGGCCATCTCAGCAAATTCCATCATCTTCACCATCCATGGTGGGTAAAGTCGAACCTTTCCACCTTTGTACATATAACAGTCTTGCTGCAATTGTCTCTTAATCACTTTACAAAACATTCCATTTGCAGTTAAAGAGATATCCAGTTAGAGAGGGGAAAAAAAACCTGAGCCAGCCTTCATTCCAGATCAAAGAAAGAATAAACGAAAATAATAATTTTAAGTACGTAAAGCTAACAGCAAAAAGCTTAACAAGACTTCGACCTAAGAAAGTTATAAACGGACCAAGGGGACAGTTTGAATTTAAAGGATTAATAGATTGACAAAGGTGCTTTTGACATTACTTGGGATAGACGTTTCCGATCATTTTCATCCATCTGGGTATTTTGTGGTTCTCCAACCAGTCGCTTTGAAGATTACGCTTTTGATTTAGTACAAAGATGGGTATTAATAACTGCTTTGTTTAATTAGCTGATATGAAACGAACGTTATCTTAAAAAAGACACGAGAGAAAAGAACAGGCTCCGATGCACTCTGCACATGCTCTGGGAATGCTTCCCCTCTCACTGGCAGCCCAGCTGAAAAGGTTGTTTTTCTTCTTCTTCTTCTTCCCTTACTAGATTTCTTCATCATGTTCATGACGGTGTTGGATTTTGTCCTCTTACTGTTCATCTCTGCCAGGCAGGGAAACCGAGGCAACACGATCACGCTCTTTCGGGTCCTCAAAATCTTCAAGGGGATTCGCGCCATCCGTGCCATCCGCTTCCTCCTTACCCTCCGGTCAGCGCTGAAATCCGCCAACTGACCGATAAGTCGGATTGGAAATAATTGGAGGAAGCCTTTCCCTCCCCTTTGGGGACGATCATACAGTGCTGTCCTAATCAATCAGGACAGGCCAACCTTTGGGGACACCAAATTCAGTAATAAACAGGTTGGCTCCCTGTGACAAAGGATAGGGCTCTTCTAAGGGAAAGGACACCTTAATCACGTCTTTTTTCTTTTTTTCGGCGGGGTTTCTTCTAGGGTGACGGAGAATCTGCAAGAAATCACCGGCACGTTTGTGCTTTCGTTCCAGTCCATTGGAGCTATTATCCTACTTATGTTCTCTTTCTTATGTATCCTCCCTGTAAGGAACAGGGTGGGGGGCTGGCAGAAGCTGATGGTGGGTATATATCTTCATTTATTCATTTATTTTCTCTGCTTCTAACAGTGTTTTTCAACCTTGGCGACTTTAAGATGGGTGGACTTCAACTCCCAGAATTCCCCAG